TTTGATCCCTCAGGACCACCAGGTGACTATCCTAAGGCCCAGAGTAACGTTCAGCCTATCCTGTTTGGAGCCTGGTCTACCATAAGGAACCCCCAGATGTGTTACCCCTCATCACGGAACTACCTGTTCAGAGCTTCCTTCCATCTACAGCCGGAGTGATCCTTGGTGTATGAGATATAAACGCACAATTTAAATTGTGCTTCCGGTGAGTGCGCAATTTATTCATTTTTTCTGCACAACGCCGGACTATATACATCAGAAGGATCTTATCAAGATACATCTATCTGTGCTGTTTCAATTACTGGACTATATTGTACATTTATATTGTGCGTTCTCATTGTGAAGTAAAGCCGTGTGGAGTACACGTCATTACTTCCCCCCTTTGTTTTCATCTCGTGGGAAGGTCACATATAATATATGTGGCCTACATTAGTTGACATTAAGTAAGGGATATCGCACTACCTCATATACTAGTGCAGTCATATATCATCTAGCACTGCACTATTTGTTTTATACATCTTCACGGGGGACAGATCTTGGGGGGGGGGGGGGAAATGACAAGGGGGGCAGATCTTCACGGGGTACTGATCTTGGGGGGGTAATGACAAGGGGGGCAGATCTTCACGGGGGGACTGATCTTGCTGGGGGGGAATGACAAGGGGGGCACATCTTCATGGGGGACAGATCTTGGGGGGGGGGAAATGACAGGGGGGGCAGATCTTCACGGGGGACTGATCTTGGGGGGGTAATGACAAGGGGGGCAGATCTTCACGGCGGACTGATTTTGCTGGGGGGAATGACAAGGGGGGCAGATCTTCATGGGGGACTGATCTAGCTGTGGTTATGGACAAGGGGGGCACATCTTCACGTGCCACATTATTGGTATCAGTTGGGGGAGGAATAGTGCCCCATGGTTGGTGTTAGTGGGATAAATAGTGCCCCATCATTAGTATCAGTGACACCAATGATGGGCACTATTCCTCCCACTTACACCAAAGACACTTAACATGCTGACCCCTGCGCCAGGGTAGGTGCTGCTGCAGGCAGCATACCTGGTTGCAGCAGCACCATCTGCACAGCACACTTACCGGGCGCGGTCAGCTGTCCTCTTTCATTCACTCTGGCTGCTCCCTCACTCGATGCTGTGGGTCCGTTCGGCTCCGGCTCCTTGCATGTGATTGGCCGCCTGTGTGCCTTTCCTGAGCTACAGTTCTGTTGCCCAATCACCGGTGAGGAGGCGGAGCCGAGCAGCAGCGCGAACATGAAGTGAGGGAGCGGGCGGAGTGAATGAAGGAGCAGCGCTTCCTGGACTGCATCATCGTGGGACTGGGACACGGAACCAGGTAAGACACAGCAGACCCCTTCCCGCTCCGGTACACAGTGTCCTTTCCATTGGATGGGGTGGCGGCAGCACCGAGCCAACCCCCTAAAAAGTTCCACCCTAGGTAAATGCCTTGTTTGCCTCGCAACAAATTCGCCCCTGGGTACAGTGACATGGTAGGGGGAGAGTTCAAATTTGAGTGGGGCAATGATATGGGGGTTGGCAGTGATATGGGGGGGCATTACATATGAGGCACATTGACATGTGGTGGCAGTGACATGGTGGGGCTTGACATGGGGAGGACAGTGACATATGGTGTTGCCTGACATGGGAGGACAGTGAAATGTGAGGGGGCAGTGACATGGGGAGGACAGTGACATGTGAGGGGGCAGTGACATGGTAGGTCCTGACATGGTGAGGAAAGTGACATATGGGCGGACAGTGACATGGTGGGTCCTGACATGGGGAGGACAGTGACATTGGGGGGTCAGTGACATGGGGAGGACAGTGACATTGGGGGGTCCTGACATGGGGAGGACAGTGACATGTGAGGGGGCAGTGACATGGTAGGTCCTGACATGGGGAGGAAAGTGATATATGGGCGGACAGTGACATGATGGGTCCTGACATGGGGAGGACAGTGACATTGGGGGGTCAGTGACATGGGGAGGACAATTACAATGACATGGGGAGGACAGTGACATTGGGGGGTCAGTGACATGGGGAGGACAATTACAATGACATGGGGAGGACAGTGACATTGGGGGGTCAGTGACATGGGGAGGACAGTGACATTGGGGGGGGTCAGTGACATGGGGAGGACAATTACAATGACATGGGGAGGACAGTGACATTGGGGGGTCAGTGACATGGGGAGGACAATTACAATGACATGGGGAGGACAGTGACATTGGGGGGTCAGTGACATGGGGAGGACAATTACAATGACATGGGGAGAGACAATTACAATGACATGGGGAGGACATTGGGGGGACAGTGACATTGGGGGGTCAGTGACATGGGGAGGACAATTATGACATGGGGAGGACAGTGACATTGGGGGGTCAGTGACATGGGGAGGACAATTACAATGACATGGGGAGGACAGACATGGGGAGGACAGTGACATTGGGGGGTCAGTGACATGGGGAGGACAATTACAATGACATGGGGAGGACAGTGACATGGGGGGGTCAGTGACATGGGGTGACAGTGGGGGGTCAGTGACATGGGGAGGACAATTACAATGACATGGGGAGGACAGTGACATTGGGGGGTCAGTGACATGGGGAGACAATTACATGACATGGGGAGGACAGTGACATTGGGGGGTCAGTGACATGGGGAGGACAATTACAATGACATGGGGAGGACAGTGTGGTTGAGGGTTGACAATTACAATGACAGTAGTCTGGATGTCGGTCAGTCTGTGTTGTCAGTTGCTTGTGCCCATGTTTTATGATCAGTTGTGGAGTGTTGCTCGTGTTTGCTAGGAGTCTGTGTTTTTGTTTGGGGTGCAGGAAATGTTTCATTTTGTCCTGTAATCAGGTTGAGGTGACGTGTGTCAGGTTGTCAGTCTGTTGTTTCTGTTCTGTTGGATTGGGATCATCCTTGGACTTCTGTAGGTAGATATGGGGGGGTGTCAGGCTGCTTGCGGTGTTGCTCTGTAATTCTTGGGTGTCATGCTGGTGTGTTTAGTCTTCATGCTGTTGTATGTTACATTGTTCATGTATGTCTGTTATCCTGTGAAATATCATTGTTCTATGTGTTGGTTTCTAACTCTTCTCTTTGTTCTCTGTTTTAGGTCCAGGCTTTGTTCGCTGTATACAGCATTGTTGTTGCTATTGGGTGTGCCCTTGCAGATCTTCAATGGTCACATCAACCTGTGACAGGACGTGTACTTATCCATGTGGATAGAGAACTTGGCTGATAATGGTGTATCCAGATCACCTTTCCAGAATTCTGCTCCTGTGACTTCTGGATAATTCATCTCCTTCATCTGTTTTCAGGCATCAATGTCTCACCTTGCAATAGTGTAGCCCTACTTCCTCTGGTCAATAGCAGGAATAGACTGACCATTTTTAAACTCGGGCACTGCCCCAGGGCCAGGGGACAGTAGGGGGCCCCATGAGATGCCCCTGGTACCTTTTCATAGGCTTTTTTGTTTGGGCAAGGACACAGGGGCCCCATGAGTGGTTAGTCCACCCCTGGCCAACAGTGAGAAAAAATAAATGAATGGACTATTGTTGTTATAGCAGTATTCAAGCATTCATTTATTGTTTAATGTGTTTTTTTTTATCTTTTATATGATTTAAAAATATATTTTCTAACATTTTTTGAAATCAAATGTTTTTTGTTTCACCAATAAAAGGGCCATGGCCTATTGTATCCTACTATCTAGTCATGTTTTGTATGTATCAACATTGTTATGGCTGATATTTAGATTTATGTTGTGCTTATCCACTTGTTGTCTGCAAGGTTTTACCTCCATGACGACAGCCTTTCTAGCTATTCATTACAGCGCTACTTTAACTGGCCGTTGCAGAGTCATGTAATATTGTAATAACATTGAATTTGATTACCAATATATATATAAATATTATTTTTATTATTTATTTACTTTGTATTATTTTGCATCACCACTGTTTATTTTCCATGATAAATTGATTTTAAAGGCTTAGTTCTTTCAGCTTCATGCATTGTATGCATGCATTACAAAAACATGTATGCTGCAGTACACCCATCCCCCCGCCCCCCCCCCCCCACAATATTTACTTGATCCCCATTGATATCAATGAATGGCCACAACAGCCTTGGCTGTCCCTTTTCTCTCTGCCTTGTCATTGGCTCCCACTGCTGTAAATCCCAGGCAGTCATGTAATGAAGTAAGAGGAGGCGTGGCCAAGCCGTGGCCTGTGTGTGAATGGACACATGGACCATCATCTTGCCAATGCACCTGCTTGGGTGTCTCCATAGGAAGTTAAGTATCATTTTTTTTCTTAGTTTCAAAAGAAAATTAAACTTTCATATAGCTTTTGAAAAGACTGGAAATATGTAAAATTAAAAAATACTTTCTACTCCAATAAAATCCTATTTCTTTAGATGAATGTAGGCAATAATGGATCATCCGACATGTCTTTTCTATGTGTTATTAATTGGTTGGGGGGAACAATACAGTCTATAAACTATGTTCTATACAATATATCTGATCATTCTTCAGTCATGATGAACTCTTGTCTTCTTTTTCTCGAGGCTCTAAAATGCCCAAATGATATCTGTATGGAAATTAGATCTTTTTTTTTTCTTTTTTTGTGAAAATGTTTTGATTAACTAATTGCCAACAGCAGATATCCGAATGACGGCTACACTGCGTCCGGCCAGTTCTGGGTGGACATCATATGACGTCCTCCCAGAACGCGCTCTCCTGGGCGCGCCCCCTGGTCCGCACACCCGGCGATCTCCGTGATCGCTGTGTTCTATACGTACACGGCTGATCACGTAATGTGTTAAAAGGCCAATTATGCCTGGATTTCAGCACCTGATCAGCCGTGTCCAATGACACACACTGATCACCGGGAAATGCCATTGCAGGTTCTCTTTCCTCACGCTGTCAGAGCACCAGGAAAGTACTGACGAGAACCGGCAGTTGTCAGAGCGGGGATCGGCACCGATCATTAGGCCAGTGATGATCAGTGCCTTGAGGATCGGTGCCCAGCAGTGCCACCCACCAGTTACGCCCACCTGTGCCTAGCACTGCACCAATCTGTACACCCACCTGTGTCAGCCACCTGTGCCCAGCAGTGTACCCACCTGTGCCACCCACCTGTGCCCACCAGTGCCACCCACCTGTGCCCACCAGTGCCACCCACCTGTGTCCACCAGTGCCACCCACCTGTGCCCATCAGTGCAGCCCAGCAGTTGCACCAGTCAGCGCCCAGCAGTGATGCCAGTCAGTGCCACCTATCAGTGCTGTCTATCAGTACCCATTATCAGTGCTGCCTATCTGTGCTACCTCATTAGTGCTGCCTATCAGTGCCATTGAGTGCTGCTTATCAGTGCCCATCATCAGTGCCCATGCCCATCACTGCTGCCTATCAGTGCCCATCAGTGCTGTCTATCAGTGCCCATCAGTGCTGCCTATCAGTGCCCAGCAGTGCTGCCTATCAGTGCTGCTGCCTATCAGTGCCCATCAGTGCTGTCTATCAGTGCTGTCTATCAGTGCCCAGCAGTGCCCTATCAGTGCTGTCTATCAGTGCCCATCAGTGCTGCCTATCAGTGCTGCCTATCAGTGCAGCAGTGCGCCGATCAGTGCTGCCTCATCAACGTACATCATTGAAGGAGAAAATTTACCTTTTTTAAAAAATTGTATAATAGAAACAAAGCAATTTTTTTTTTTTTTGTTTGCACTTTCTTTTTTTATATTGCAAAAAGTAAAGTGCCCAGCAGTGCTTAAATACCACCAAAAGAAAGCTCTATTTGTGAGAAAAAGATAACCATTTCATATGGGTACAATCTTGCATGACCGCGCAATTGTCATTCAAAGTGCAACAGCGCTGAAAGCTGAAAGCTGAAAATTGCCGGTAAAGAAGGAGGTACAAGTGCCGGTAGGAAGGAGGTACAAGTGCCGGTAGGGAAGGAGGTACAAGTGCCGGTAGGGAAGGAGGTACAAGTGCCGGTAGGGAAGGGAAGGAGGTACAAGTGCCGGTAGGGAAGGAGGTATAAGTGCCGGTAGGGAAGGAGGTACAAGTGCCGGTAGGGAAGGAGGTATAAGTGCCAAGTGGTAGGGAAGGAGGTACAAGTGCCGGTAGGGAAGGAGGTACAAGTGCCGGTAGGGAAGGAGGTACAAGTGCCGGTAGGGAAGGAGGTACAAGTGCCGGTAGGGAAGGAGGTATAAGTGCCGGTAGGGAAGGAGGTATAAGTGCCGGTAGGGAAGGAGGTATAAGTGCCGGTAGGGAAGGAGGTACAAGTGCCCGGTAGGGAAGTGCCGGTAGGGAAGGAGGTATAAGTGCCGGTAGGGAAGGAGGTATAAGTGCCCGGTAGGGAAGGAGGTACAAGTGCCGGTAGGGAAGGAGGTACAAGTGCCCGGTAGGGAAGGAGGTACAAGTGCCGGTAGGGAAGGAGGTACAAGTGCCCGGTAGGGAAGGAGGTACAAGTGCCCGGTAGGGAAGGAGGTACAAGTGCCGGTAGGGAAGGAGGTACAAGTGCCCGGTAGGGAAGGAGGTATAAGTGCCCGGTAGGGAAGGAGGTATAAGTGCCCGGTAGGGAAGGAGGTATAAGTGCCCGGTAGGGAAGGAGGTATAAGTGCCGGTAGGGAAGGAGGTATAAGTGCCGGTAGGGAAGGAGGTACAAAGTGCCGGTAGGGAAGGGTAGGGAAAGTGCCGGTAGGGAAGGAGGTATAAGTGCCGGTAGGGAAGGAGGTACAAGTGCCGGTAGGGAAGGAGGTACAAGTGCCGGAGAGAAGGGAATTATTAAGTGCCGGTAGGGAAGGAGGTATAAGTGTCCCCCGGTAGGGAAGGAGGTATAAGTGCCGGTAGGGAAGGAGGGAGTGCCGGTAGGGAAGGAGGTACAAGTGCCGGTAGGGAAGGATTTAGGTAAAGTGCCGGTAGGGAAGGAGGTATAAGTGGTACAAGTGCCGGTAGGGAAGGAGGTAAGTGCCGGTAGGGAAAGGTTAGGGAAAGTGCCGGTAGGGAAGGAAGGGTATAAGTGCCGGTAGGGAAGGAGGTATAAGTGCCGGTAGGGACAGGTAGGGTAAGTGCCCGGTAGGGAAGGGAGGTATAAGTGCCGGTGGCAACCAAAGGAGGTCAAACCCCCCGGTAGGGAAGGAGGTATAAGTGCCGGTAGGGAAGGAGGTATAAGTGCCGGTAGGGAAGCCTGACATTGAACAACAGGTAAGTACCCGGTAGGGTGCGGTAGGGATAGGTAGGGAAGGAGGTACAAGTGCCGGTAGGGAAGGAGGTACAAGTGCCAAGTAGGGAAGGAGGGTACAAGTGCCGAGGTAGGGACCCCTAGGTAGGGAAGGAGGTCCCCAAAGTGGCAACACCACTCACCCTAGCAACAGGAGGTATCACCTTCACGACTCTGGACACCAAGTGCCGGAGGGAAGGAGGTATAAGTGCCGGTACTGGGAAGGAGGTATAAGTGCCGGTAGGGAAGGATGGTATAAGTGCTCCCCTTTTGGGTAGGGAAGGAGGTACCCCAAGTGCCGGTAGGGAAGGAGGTACAAGTGCCGGTAGGGAAGGATGCCTTGTATAAGTGCCTTGTGGTAGGGATATGCCCCTGCATTGACCTAAGTGCCGAGTAGGGAAGGGGTTGAAGTGAATGGGGAAGAAACATTATTATTATTATTTTTGTAGGGCGACGCTTATAAAAAATACCCCCGTGTAGGCAAGTACTTGGGGTCATCCTACTGACTGGTGTAGCCCTGATCTTGTGTGCTGACTCTTGTCATTATCATTTTTCATTTAAATTGAACTCATTTTTTTGCAACATTTTCAACATGCAAACATGTTAGGAAACGTTGTGCTCACCCTTCAATGTTGTCCTACAAGATCACAATTCCATCTGTATCTGTTATCCTGTGTAATTCTTTATCCCCTCACTGACATGTCCTGTTTATTCATGTCATGTCTGCAGCTTTGTCTGTGCATTTAGGGTGCAGGCTTGACATTGTAAACCAAGCACACGGGGTCATCAAATATCCCCATCAACCAAACATTGGCTCACAAAACACCCCTCCCCCCACAACCAGAGAGCCAGACACTGACCCCCCCCCTTTTTCAACCACAAAGAGAGCCTGACATTGAACAACAAGACCCCACCCCTACCCGAGAGAGCCCTCCACTACCACCACTCCCCATACACTGGCAACACCCCTCCCCCCACAACCAGAGAGACACTGACCCCCCCCCCCTTCAACCACAAAGAGAGCCTGACATTGAACAACAAGACCCCACCCCTACCCGAGAGAGCCCTCCACTACCACCACTCCCCATACATTAACACCAACATCATACATATGTCTGCAGAAAGCAACACCTTGTCATAAGATCAACAGCTGCCATCTGCTAATTTCACCTCTTCAAAAACAAGACAAAATGTTTTTCTATCAGAATACTTCTCATTGCAATCCCAAGTAAACATTTCTCTTTACCATTGTGTCATTTATAAACTACATTAATGTCACATGCAGGGGCCAAATCACCATTTGGAAACTCGGCCAGTGCCCGAGGGCCCGGGTCAGTATGGGGTCCCATGAGATGCCCCTGGTACCTTTTTCATAGTCTATTTTGGAGTTTGGCCAAGGACACAATGGCCCCATGGTCCCCTATTGCCCAGGGGCCCCATGAGTTGTCAGTTTTCCCCCTGGTAACATAGTACTATATGAAATGAACATTGATGAGACAATGCCACCCACCTTTGTCACCAACCTGTGCCCATCAGTGCCACCCACCAATGCTCATCAGTGCAGCCCAGTAGTTCTGCCACTCCTTGCCCAGCAGTAGCCCCAGTCAGTGACACCAGTCAATGCCGCCTAGCAGTGCCGCCTATCCGCGCCATCTCATTAGTGCTGTCTATGAGTGCCCTTCAGTGCTGACTATCAGTGCCGCCTATCATTGCCCATAAGTGATGCCTATCAGTGCCGCATCATCAACACACATCAGTGAAGGAGAGAAAAATTACCAGTTTTCACAATGTTTTAATAGAAACATAGAAATGTTTCGGGGGCACTATTATTGATTATAGAGCAAACAGTTAAACACACAGTGGAGAGTACATACCACGAAAAGAAAGTTGTATTTGGGACAAAAAATGATAAAACTTCAGATGGGTACAGTTCTGCATGAACAACCAATTGTAATTGAAAGTGCGACAGCGCATAAAGCTGAAAATTGTCGGGGGCAGGAAGGGGTAGAAGTGCCCTGTAGGCAGGAAGGGGTAGAAGTGCCCTGTAGGCAGGAAGGGGGCCCTGTAGGCAGGAAGGAAAGGGGGTAGAAGTGTCCTGTAGGCAGGAGGGGGTAGAAGTGCCCTGTAGGCAGGAAGGGGGTAGAAGTGTCCTGTAGGCAGGAAGGGGGTAGAAGTGTCCTGTAGGCAGGAAGGGGGTAGAAGTGTCCTGTAGGCAGGAAGGGGGTAGAAGTGTCCTGTAGGCAGGAAGGGGGTAGAAGTGTCCTGTAGGCAGGAAGGGGGTAGAAGTGTCCTGTAGGCAGGAAGGGGGTAGAAGTGTCCTGTAGGCAGGAAGGGGGGTAGAAGTGCCCTGTAGGCAGGAAGGGGGTAGAAGTGCCCTGTAGGCAGGAAGGGGGTAGAAGTGTCCTGTAGGCAGGAAGGGGTAGAAGTGTCCTGTAGGCAGGAAGGGGGGGTAGAAGTGTCCTGTAGGCAGGAAGGGGGTAGAAGTGCCCTGTAGGCAGGAAGGGGTAGAAGTGCCCCTGTAGGCAGGAAGGGGGTAGAAGTGTCCTGTAGGCAGGAAGGGGGTAGAAGTGTCCTGTAGGCAGGAAGGGGGTAGAAGTGCCCTGTAGGCAGGAAGGGGGTAGAAGTGTCCTGTAGGCAGGAAAGGGGTAGAAGTGTCCTGTAGGCAGGAAGGGGGTAGAAGTGTCCCTGTAGGCAGGAAGGGAGTAGAAGTGCCCTGTAGGCAGGAAGGGGGTAGAAGTGCCCTGTAGGCAGGGAGGGGGTAGAAGTGCCCTGTAGGTCAGGAAGGGGGTAGAAGTGCCCGGTGGGCAGGGAGGGGGTAGAAGTGCCCAGTGGGCAGGGAGGGGGTAGAAGTGTCCTGTAGGCACGG